GGGAATTTAGTACGTTTTGACATATGACCATCTGGCAAACTTGAATCTTGTCTGCAAATAGCTGTATGGTTACTATCACTTATACTGCAAGGAGTACTATTTTCTGGCCTACTGGGACCTCTTCTGCCTCCTCTCTTAGACTTGTGCTCAATTAAACGATCCAGCGGTAGGTCATTCAAGTCCAGATTGTAAACGTGGCGGGCTAGAACTCTGGTGAGGGTTTCCAGCGTTTTCTGTGAAAAAATACACATCTCTGCATAAAAATCTCATGAACATTACGATTCTATTGATCGTCTCCAAACCTTAACAAAAAATATTTGGATTTCCTTATTCAAATTTGTATCTGAGAAAAGGGAGATAAAAAATCTATAGATTTATTGTTAAATGGGACCTAGCATTGCTTCAGAATCCATCATTGCTGGAAAAATTTAAAAAAGTTCTTCAAATAACTAAATGAGGAAAACCCGAGAAAGGCAACTGAGAATCATTTCTCTGAAAAAACCTACACAAAGAGAAACTCCAGAGTTACATACCATCTAATTGAAATTATTTTAGTGAGAGAATAATTAATAATTCAGAAAATAAATGATAAATCTTATCAGTTATTTTCCTTCCTTTCCTATCACCCAAAATTGTGCCTAATTTTATTACTATATTCTATTTTAACTGAGGGTGAATATGTAATAAATCTGGAAATTCCTGAAAAATATAATATCCGATGAAGATACTGTTATAAATTATACCCTGAAAAAAAAAATAACGTCGGCCGCCGCTGGTCTTTGTCAATCGTGACTTTGCCAAGATTGCGCTCAACTCGACTTGCGTTTCTCGATCTTTCTGGGTGTTGTGTCGCAGCGAGGGACTTCCCTATCGGCTTTCAGAGACTTCCATTATGATATATGAACACTACCAAGAGGCAGATCGGGAAATCTAGTTGAAAGTGCGGTACGAAGTGATCTTATGAAGCGATAGACATTTGACTATTAGTCTAAAGTGTCAGTTGAAATGTTTGTGTTGTATTGGCAGTGTAACAGTGAAATAAAGTTGAATTTAACTATACAACATAGTCACAGGGAAAACATAACAATACAGAAACGTCATTTCACCATCAGCAAAATAATTTGAATATCAACAAAATAGTTACAATTGAAAATAGTTTATGTTGTCATGCAGCTAAAGGAAAATTTTAAAATTCACGTACTCAAAACACAAAATGTCCTGAAATAATTCAACAAAAAAAAAGAACATTTTTATAGTAAATGCAAAAGGCATAACTAACTCACAGCCCACTCCTTTATCAGCTCTTCCCAGCTGGTCAAAGACATCAAGACATGCAGAAATCTGTCCCACAACTCTCGGGTAATCAATACATTGAGATTTGCCTTAATCCAAGTGACTATCAATGTTTGAAATATGGCTGGGGCAAGCTTGCCGCCTAGGGTGGAAACCTTCTTTTTTGGAGGAGTTTCTCCCAGTACAAGCGATGTTATTTGAAGAAGAACAAGCAACAACTGTTCCCTGAAAGTACAATTAAAATAATTCAAGTCCGAATTATATGACAACACCGATATCATACCATGTACTGTTGTCCATTCTTGTGTTCATAACCATGTAGCGATAGATGTTCAGTACTCTTTTACAAGCATCGGTCTGTTCTTCAAGTACCTTGGGTATATGAGGATTTATTTCCAACAGGAAAACATTTCCAGCTTGTGTCATGAACAACTGGAGCAAATTCTGAAAAAAAAACAATCAAACGCTGAAAAGTGAAAAAATGGAAAATCCTGAAATACAGTGACTTTGTATTACCTATTTATTTGATGAATCAGATTAAGAGAGGAAAAAACACTGTTTTTTCGTTAACCAACTGTCGCACCCCTACGAAAAACAACCCTCAGAAGTCGAAACTTGTGCGAGCTAAGGATTAACGAGGTCTTACCTTTTTACGTGTGATTCCCAACAAGAGAAACGAGAAGAAGATAAGGAAAGGGTTAACAAGGGGGAGATGTATGTAGAGAGAAATAGAGAGAATTTTATAATCTAAAAATCAGTAAATGAAAGCTGGACATATATGCACACACACACACCTAACAATAATAAAAGCGAGGTCCGAAATGTTCTGAATTTGTCAGAAAATTAAGAGTTTATCAACGATGTTATGAAGGTGATCCGCTTTGGAAGAGCAGCTGGTTAATAACCACGACTCATCAAAGTGTTATTGTGAAGGAAATTGAATACGAATTTGTGGAACAAATTCAGACAGGAAAAGTACAATGAGGACAGAGAAGGGACAATGAGATTATAAAAATTGTTCCCAGATTCGAGGGACTTTCAAATTCCATTCTTTGTGTAAACATGTGACTACCACAAGAGAGATAAGAATCAACCTGACAACCAGAAATATATATTACTATGTATTCTACATACCTGCATACCAGCCCTGACTAACAGATTCTCTTTATGGATAGCTCCCAAATAAGAATCATTTCTGAGTCTAGCCGGCCTATTAGTCTCGGGTGTAATTTCTTCGTTAGGAACCCGTGGTGCATCCTCAGGTAGTTCCAATGCATAAGGTGGAATTTCCGCCATGTTTCCCTGGATCAGATCTTTGTACAACCCTATAATTTTTCTGATGGCTACCACGTGCGTAAAATTCAGTAGAAAAGCTTGGCGACAGAGTTCATGGATAAAATTAACGTTTTCTCTGGAACTGTACAATACTTCCCGAACAATTTGTGGGGCCAGGTCTTCATCGCTTGTCGTTCGGTTTGTTTGGACGGATAGAGCTATAAAAAATATGAATATCGTCCAGTAATGACTTCAAATAAAAAAGAAATATTTGTTAAATCTCGTGTTATTTCAATTTGACTGTTGATTACAATAACATCAAGTTGGGAGTTTAGAAACATATTTATTTATTTATTTACGGGTGAACCCCAATATTTGTTTACAATAAATTGTGTAACAATAAAAGCTTATACTATACTATACTAATTATTATAAATACCTTTATGTGTGTAACAAAAGACAATAAAAACAGACANGAATATAATTAATTGAATATTAATTAATGAATAGCATGGATTCGCCCAGAATAAATCAACATTGACCAACTTATTAATTCATCAAAATATCATCAATGATGCCTTAGATAATAGATTACAACAAAAAAAAAATACGATGATTGAGGACGTAAATTTAAATTCAAAATTCGACAGTCTCAAAAAGTTCCACCAACCCTGAAATTTTGGTAAGGCTACCTATGAAGGGGCTGGCCCAAGCATTAAAAAACCGTTTTTATTTGTTATATCAGGACATGTTTTCCATGTTTTAACAATGTTCCCCGTGATTGAAATGAAAACTTCAGTACATGAATTAAGGGGTAAAATTATCCAAATTTGTGCCAGCATTACACCAAATGAACTCAGAGATAAGAAATTATCTCTGTATCACATATTTGGCTATTGTTTGGCACAAGGTAGTTTATTTGAGCCTTTATTACATCAGCTTTTCAGTTCGTTTATTTTTTTCAAAGCATTTTATTTTGGAAGCCGTAATGACAAAAGAAAAAACATAGCCCCTATTTTTCATAAGAGAAATTATTTGTTACAATTATCGTAGCAAATAATTTCTCGCAGACAATGGAGATTCATTGTAGCAAAGTCTCTTGCTTGAAGTCAGACGTACACACATCCTATCTAACATTTTCATCCTGATGAACCGGTTTCCGTACTGTGCCAGTGTAGTCTAGCGAAAACACACACATCGTGAGTGGGGATACATCAAATTATATGGAGATATTATCAACGCATATAATAAAACCTCCTAATATCAGTTCAATTTAACAAACATTTTGAAGTTTTTCATGTGGGTTATCTCTTGATATAAATAAATGAAGGAATTGCTTACTTACTCGAGTCTAAGCTAGGATGTGACGAATCTTGCTGAGATTCCTCTTCATGTGTGAGTTGTGACTGTTGCGAAGGAGAATAGATTGAAGAGTGCCCTCCAATGGAATCGTGTGTTTTTCTAGTTTGATGCAAGTGATTTATCACCCACAATATCAAAGTTACTCGACAATGTACAAATTCATTTTCACTTTCAGGTTTTCTTATCACAGGCAAATCTGAAAACGTAAAGAATTGTTATTTATTTCAAGTTGAATAAAAAAAAGCGAAGGACTGTGGGGAAAACTTCAGGCCAGTGTTCAATTAAATTTTGGCTAGAAACACTTGTGGTTTTTTGTGATGGAACCAGAGATGGAATCTTTAACAGAAAATAATATATGGACACTAGCCGACAAACTCTCTAATTGTAAAATATTTGAAAATAAATGGATATTCAAAATCAATCGAAATTCCAATAACAATATTAGCCGACATAAAGCCAGGTTGAGGAAAGTGATATACCAAAGTCTACAGAGTTGATTACAATGAAACTTTTTCTCGCGGGGTGAGGAACTCCACAATTAGATTTTTAATAGGTTTAGCAGCAGAAACTAATTTGAAAATAGTCCATGTTGATGTTACCACCGCATTCCTAAGTGATGATCTTGAAAATTAAATATATACGAAATAATCTGACGGCTTAAATTTCTCCATCTTTAAACAAATAATTGTGGAAAACCTCCAATGGAAGAAAGGTTCAAAATATACTCTTCACAATAACGTGTAGAGGAGTTATTTTAAACACGATCTAAACGGTTTCAGTATGTGCTGCGGCAGATCCATTGTGGTGATTTTTGTAAAGGTAATCCACAAACTCCTGGTAGGGTGTCTTGGTAAGAGGCATCTCCTTCCACAAATCTGGCATTAAGTATGCATAAGTCTTGCAAATTGCTGCACAAGTTGCCTTGGCGAAATTACCCAGTGTACCAGCAGAGCCCTTGGCTGATGTATAGCAGTCTTTTCTTCTAGTTTCTTGGGAACAGGGGCAGAAAATATCAGTTTATGTTTACGTAGTCCGGTACTGTCCACTTCGCGAAACACAATAAATCACCAGTCTCTCTGTGCGAAAGTTTTATAGTCAATTTCACTGTAATACAAAGATTGTCTACCAAGCGTTCACAAATTTACTTAAAAAATCCCACTTCTGACACCAATTGTAACGAATTAAAGAATTAACTGTCTTAAACAAATTTATTTTTGACACTATTTACTAATTTACATACAACACTTAGCAACTAACGCTTATCTCCACCGTTCGAATTCTTTATTTAAACGCACGATTCGCTTTCTGAATACAGACTGCCATCTCAGGACAGGAAGCCGTCTTTTATGTCGGCAACGACCACTCCAGATCTCTCTAGTCGTTTCGGCACTCATCTATACTTTTCGTGGCGGTTCGCGGTGAGTCATGTGTTTGCTGGCTGAGATATCGGTCAGGGCCGGCTTCAGATTCGTTTCAATATTATCTTAATATATGATATATATATTTCTCTAAGTGACGAGACCTCTAATTCTTTGAAAGTTCCTCGACTTGCAATGGATTCACTATTCTGATTTATCTGTTTTCTTCTGATTCACAGAAATAAACTTGCCCATTTCTGATTCATCACTCTTTTTTCATTTAGAACATTCTCATTTATAATAACTTTTCTGTTACCAAGTTTCTTAGTTCTTTGCCCTCGAAGAAAATTAGGACTTGCTTGTTTATGGCTTTACCAGAAAGAGCTTTAATATTCCAGTCTTCTGATCAGCACGGTAATTTTGTTCATACCAAATATTGCTACATTTCATTCATTTTTGGGTTATTTTCAACTTTCCATAGCCTGAAAGCTACAGATTCTCTGTTGCCAAAGAAACTCCTGTATTAAATCGTGGAACAAAAGAAATCTTATGAAAACGGTAGACAGAATTTAATAATATACACATTTTTCCACTCTTACCTTTATATCTGGGCACTGCATAACATGAATTTCTGGATCAGGCTGCAATACAGAAATTGCACTCAAATCTTCGGGTTGACTCAACAGATTAGTCAAAATAGACACTGCTTCCATCCTGGGGGAAGATTCTAGTTTTTCTGTACTATTTAGAACTGTATTGCACGCATGAATAAGATCCAAAAGAAGTAATGATGCTCCTGGTAACTGAAGAGAAATAAATCTGGGTCCAAGATATTTGAGGCAGGTATTCAGAACTGGTTTAGAAGAACCTGTCAAAGCTGGAAAGCAATACCGTTTACAATTTCTAAATACCTTAACAATCTAATTTTTCTTGACAGCTTAATGTGGTTAGTGTGATTTCTAGTATAAGTTCACCACTTCAAATAAATAAAGAAGAGAAAAATGGGGTTGACCCTTTTTTTCCTGTCTCCATTATTGAAGAAGAGGTAAAAACGGAAATGCATACCAAAAAGTGTGTATCAGAACTGATTCGAGGATTGGAAAAATGCTAACAAAAATATATTATAAGTGAGTAAGTAAGTGCTTTATTGGTACTTTATGCAATTCAGCATTTATACAAGTCAATAGATTTATACGTGATTATAAATTGACAAGTTAGTCCATGAAAGATGTATTACCTTCATTTTCATTAATCATGCCTCTTCAATGATCGTTTGAATCAGTAAGTAACATAAAGAGACTTTTTTCATTATGGAAATAATGGCAATTTTTTCATTTTCTCACTGATATTAGTCATTAGTTCAGTTATAAAATGGTATCGACAATAGTATCGGTTATTTGTGTCATTTACTTGAAGGTAAATCATCTTACATCACTGTAATTTCAGTTAACTCATATGGCAGGCAAAGGAGTATTTTCCCCAACTGATATAGTAATGAAGATTGTTATCTAAAAACTATTTACCAATAGTTTATTAAATGTACTCACATCATCCAGCTGATCCAAATCAGGAGCGGCATTTGAAATCTCAGGCAAAATATTTGGTGGCCTATGTCTCATTGCCCTCTGTGGCAGAGTGTGCAAAGGACTGCTGATCATCAAACTTTCCGGTTGACAATACTTCTCAATATTCTCCTTGACAACTACAGGTGGCATCACATCTCTCTGTTCAGTTTGCCTCACGTTTTCAGGTGTGCGGTACAGAATAGAGGCATCCCAACTAGATTTTCCTGAAAGATCTCTCAAGAGTACCCTTACTTGTTTGTCAGCAGTCGAAAGACCAGCTGTTACTCCACCTCCAGGTAGATCTAATGCAGGAAGCTCTATCAAGCTGGCGATAACGCTCCTCGAAAGTATGAACATCTGTAAGTGAAAATACAGTTGACATAATGTAATAATTGAATTGAGAACTTCTTTTTGTGTGGTTCGAAACCACTTATCAATATTTGGTATTCTTTTACAACAATATATTGATTTCATAGAAAACGTGGCTCTAAGTTTTCTAACCTGAATGTTCGGTGCAGAAAAAATGCTAGAAGACAGTTCGTCAGATGTGAGGTTGGGCACGTCATCGTGTTCTGCTACAAGTGAACTGAGCCTTGCAGCTCCTATAGCCATAGGAAAATGGCCAAGATGGGTGACTAGATGAGCAAGTACAGTTTTGGCGCACAATACGATTGCTTGCTGACACTGGTTGGTTTTGGATGGTGAAAAGGAGGCGGATATGTCGAAATCGTCTGCGAGGAGATTATGATCGGAATCATCACTCAAGTTGGGTTGGGCGAGACTGCCAGCATTATCTGTTGAGGCTCTGCCCAAAATTATCTTATGTAGAACCTGTAACACACATATACCATTCAAATAATATAATCATTAAAAAATAAAAGCGATTTATTACATTTCTGGCAGACAAGTTATTTCAATAGCTTCATTTTTTTTGGTGCTGTAAAACTCTATAATTCATTGCCCAAGCAATTAAAGATATTCAATATCAGAAAATTCAAATACAGATATAAAAATTATATCTATGATAGTCAGTAATGTCAACTTTTGCTCATTGGA